TTGAGTTCAACATAATTTCTTCCTCTCCCCCTCCAATCGCGCCATTGCGTGCGTCTCCTATTTCCTCCCCTAATACCTTCTTCCACACTCTCCCTCCATCCTTGCAACAAACGCTCACCCCACTCTTACTCGCATTCCAACTCCCTCCGTACCACCCCTCCTGTCACAACAATCCCCCACCCACCATCCCTTCCGTTTGCTCCCACTCTCTGTCGCTCACTGGGGTCTTGGCATCCTTCAAACTATCATTCCTCCATCCGCTCCGTTCTATTGCCTCCCCACTGCTTTCATTCCCGAAGGCCCATGTATCTCTCGATTTTCCATCACGCCATTCACTGCATTCTCCTGTATACCCAGCTCTCCCCACCCCACCTTCCACTACCCCTCTCACGCCCTCGTCTATACCGTCTAAAGGTCCTTCATCCCCCTTGCGCATTCCACTGGGGCCTTTACCCATCCTGCAATCGGCTCTCTTATTATGGGATTGCTTGATTCCACTTACTCGCGGGGAGCCGTGTGCTCTACCTTCGTAATCCTTCCCCATCGAGTCTAGATTGATCCCTTCTTCTCTACCTCCGGTTGCAACACTTCGTGTGTTTCCTGCCTCCTCTCCTTGCGGCTCATTCCACACTCTCTCTCCATTCCCACAGCATACATTCACCCCGTCCCTATTTGTCCTCAAATTCCCTTTATCCAACCTACCCTCTTGTTGCAACCACTCTCCTCTTATCATCCCTAATGCTACCATTCCATTACCATCATCCCCTCCCCCATGGACCCTCCCATACTCCACTGTTTCTGCCCCTTTATTCATGCCTCTATGGGGTCTTTCATCCATCCATCCACCCCATTCCTTTCCTCGATCTATCACTTCCCAACCTCTTTCATTCACGGAGGCACATACATCCCCCGATCTTTCATTATACCTTTCGTTCCGTTCTCCTGCAACCCCAGCACATTCTGGCCCACCTTCTACCGTTTCTTTCGCGCCCTTATTCATGCTGTACGGGGATCCTTTGCCCCCTTTACACGCTCTATGGGAGTTCTTCATCTTATGACTTTTGACGGATTCCCGGGCAGTTTTTCCTTTGCCGAGCCTCCCCATTGAGTTCAACATAATTTCTTCCTCTCCCCCTCCAATCACGCCATTACGTGCATCCCCTATTTCCTCCCCTAATACCTGGTACCACGCTCTCCCTCCATCCTCGCAACCAACGCTCACCCCACTCTTACTTGCATTCCAACTCCCTCCGTGCCACTCCTCCTGTTGCAACAACCCCCCACCCACCATCCCTTCCGTTTGCTCCCACTCTCTGTCGCTCGCTGGGGTCTTGGCATCCTTCAAACTATCATTCCTCCGTCCACTCCGTTCTATTGCCTCCCCACTGCTTTCATTCTCGAGGGCCCATGTATCTCTCGACTTTCCATCACGCCATTCATTGCATTCTCCTGTATACCCAACTCCCCCCACCCCACCTTCCACTACCCCTCTCACACCCTCGTCTATACCGTCTAAAGGTCCTTCATCCCCCTTGCGTATTCCACTGGGGCCTTTACCCATCCTGCAACCGGCTCTCTTATTATGGGATTGCTTAATCCCACTTCGGTCTATTCCCTTCTTGCTCGTGTTACTCGCAGGGAGCCGTGTGCTCCATAGCTTTCCCCTTTGCAGTCCATCCAGTTCCTCTATATCTCGTTCCTCCGTGTATTCACCATCCTCTCCCATCTTCAGTCCATTTGGCTTCTCGTTCTCTCTTTCCCCAATCAATGGGCGTTCCATCCTGCTCCGGGGTTCTCTCCTCGTGTTAGATCCACTGGGGATACGTTGGTGCCCTTGCCAATTTTGGTTGAAGGTAGGGCTTTCTCGTACGGGGTACGTAGAGTCCTGGATCGTCCCCTGAGCCCCCATATCCCAGGGGGTAGTGGTTCTAAATACCTTTCTTCTGCAGTCCCGGTTTTTGCCGCGGTGATTGTCCTGCCACGTTTTAAGTGTTTGATGTGCCTGGCATATATCGACATGCCGGTTGATGGAATCCCGGCCCAAAAACCAGGCTTCTTTCAATAATCTACCACTTTTGGTGGCATCCACAGCGAGAACTTGAGCATGCTCGAAGTCAAAGCGGTGATCCTGCTCGGCCATGTGAGACCATATCTGTGAATACTGCTCACCTCTTCTAATGGCCAAGTTATGTTCATGGAGGCGGGTCTTGAGTCTTTTTGATGTCTCACCCACGTAGTGGCTCTTACAGTCCAGACAATTGACTCTGTAAACCACTGCCGATCTTTCCATCGTGGGGAGGGGGTCCTTCGGGCGCATAATCTTTGAACGTAACGTTTGGTCCGGCTTATGGGCTACTTGTATGTTATAGGGGCCAAGTAGCCTGGCCGTGGCCTCCGATACATTACTGATATAAGGTAATGTGACGCGTGTGCGTGTGGTTTGCGTGTCAGGTTCCCTTTCCCGTTGGTTATTGTGGGATCTCGGTACCCCACTATAGCGTCTTATAAATTTTGGGGGGTAACCGTTCAGACGGCAGATCCAGTGCAAGTGCCTCCTTTCTTCAAATTTAGCCCTCGCTGTGCTGCAATGCGTGTGTATGCGCTGCAACAACGTCCTAATACAGCTGGCCTTATGGGAAACCGGATGATTGCTACCATAGTGGAGGATGCGGTCCGTGTGGGTTGATTTACGGTATACTTTGGTACTAACAGAACCATCTGGCAATCGCCGGACCATCACATCCAGGAAAGCCAGTGCACAAACCGAAAAATATCTACCATCCTAAGAAACCCCAAAGATAAAATTGAGTTAGAAAATCAAGGAGTATATGAAATCCCATGAACCGCCTGTCCCACCACATACATTGGACAAACCAACAGAAGAATAAATGCACGCATTGAAGAACACAAGAACTCAGTTAGAAAAGAGGAACCAACTTCTTCCCTGGTCCAACACCTTAAAGCCACAGGACATAAAATTGACTTTAAAAAGACCAGAACTATTGCCAAAACTGAACACTTTAACAACAGAATAATCAGAG